TTGCTGAGTTGATAAGCTATTTGCTATCTCGCCTACAATCTGAACGAGCAGGTAAAGGTATGGCCTGTGCCTGTTCGGCGAGGATATGTCGACCCCGGCGAACTAGACCGGTGTCCGGTCTGTACTCCACACTCATAGCTCGGTGAAGGGGATACACCTCGGCGAGCATGCAGCTTGTACCAGCTTGCCCAAAAGGGTCCTCCTCACCAAGGGAAATGATCAGCAATTCAGCTCTTTGGAGGGGGTCATCATCCTCTGAGCTGGGTACCTCGTCAACAAACAGGTAAATCCCGCACCGGTTCGCGGAAAGATTGTTGTTCAACGAGCTGGTGGTACCACCAGCAAGAAAGGTATCTCTCCGTCGCTCAGCTCACAAGAAAAATTCAACCCCGTTTACAGGAAGGCTTGAACAGCCGACCTGGGGATGGATGTTCTGCTGTAGTACGCTGTCCTGGGTGTCCAGAATGGTGGTCGCATAGGCATCCATCAGGCGCTTACCGATTGCGCTACGGGGCCGGTGACTTCACTGGTGATTCAAGGGTATAATTAGGTTCCGGGCGCGTAATGTCAGGGCAAAAATAGACAATTCTGCGGCCAACAACTCAAAAAAGCCCCTCCTGTAAATGTTCCAGCCCATTGAGCGCATGCCTTTTTTGAAGAAGATGCATGTATTTACTCTTCACTAAGCTGGTAAAGGCCTTCGGTGAGGAGAGTGGATCCCTTGCGAGTCCTTGTGAGCATGAACAACTGAATAGCTATACCAGCTCGCCGAGGTTTCATCCTCCTCATCGATATGTAGTACAGACCGGTCCAGCTCGCCATGGGGGATACATCATACAAGCTACAATTCTTAATAATAATTCAAGAATCGTTCAAACGACCCCCCAACAATTGGAGGGAGACCCTAGAAACCACTTGACTAAGACTAATGCCATGGAATCGCGAGCGGGTTGCGCGACTTTTGAGTATCGCCATTCGAGTTTTGTTGGCGCCGTTGGGTGCGGTCCAACAGCTTCCCTCTTCACATTGAAATTTGAGGCTCGAGCTGGCATGATCTGTGTCAGCTTGCCAAGCATGATATATCATTGTTCAGGTGACATAGAGCACCGTGAGGACATATCCTGCTTGGCAAGCTCGGCCGATCTGTACTCCACAGCTCGTTGAGCAGGATACACCTTCGGCGAGCTGACACGGCTTTGCAGGCTTTATTAAGAGGCATCCTCCTCACTGAGGGCCAGTACCAGCTCTGTGAAGAGGTTTCCTCTTCTCCGAGGAAAACATCTTTCACTTTAACTGGCATGTATAATAATTATCACCCAGCTGGTATCACCTGTCGGCCTAGCATGTACTCCAAGAGAATCAGCTCTCCCCAGTAAGCTACTACCCAAGTCAAAAATTAATGCCCCGTTCCCAGGAAGGATTGAACACTTGACCTGGACTGTTGATGGACTTTCTATTATAGTCGACTCTCCTCTGGCAAGCCAGATTGTTGGACGTAGACGAATCCATCAGGGCGCTTACCGATTGCGCTACGGGGCCGCCGACTGTATTGGTGAGGTAATGATTTGAGTAGGTTGCGGGCTATATTTTAGGACAAAAGATAGAATAGGAAAGAAACCTGTTTTCTCTGTCTGTACCTGTTTCTACAACATTATAGCTTGTCATAGCAGCTTGTCTGTAACGCTTAGGAGTATTAATAAACCCTAAATTTACACAACTTGTTTATACCTGATGAAGTGCTCTCAAGAGGCCTCAACTCACTTCAACATATTCATTTAAATTGGTTGTAACGCTTGGAGGCACCATCAGACGTGCGCAGCTTGTGCCTCGGCAAGTGCTCCAAGGGGCCCCAACTCACTTTGACCCAGAGATGACATATCTTTCATCGCTGAATAGTGGCTCCGATAAAATGAACACATCAAGAGCTCATGTGTTGTTCAGGTTGTATAAAACCTTTTAAGATCATTATTATCGTGATCATAGCGTTTCAGGTTGGCATTACGGAAGAAAAGAAACAGACAAAAAAATCAAGAGCGGGTGCATTAAGATTGCACGAAAGGAAGAAAAGTTACAACATATGTCCATTGATAGATTAGGGAGAAGGAGAAGGAAAAGATAAAAGGATCAGAGGCTAGATAAAAATAAATCACTGGGTTCCTGCAATCTTTGCATAAGCAGCATCGATTGCTTTTGATACTGCGACTGGATCACCACTGGTAGCGCTAGTGGCAATGGCACTACAGATGACCGGGACGAGCTGGGCATTGTCTAACTTGGGGTTAGAGGTGAGTGATTTCTCCCAAGCTTCGTGGAGAGAATGGGCGACGGTCTTCAAGGACGGAGATTCATCCATGGCCGCAGTGGTCTTGGTGAGTGGGGCGATGGGGGAGGCGCTTATCTTCGAAGGCTTTCCTTGGTTGTAGGGGCCAAAGGTGGCAAGCATCGCTCTCGAAACCGCCTCGGGATCGCCGGTCTTTCCGGTGCTCTCGGCCGCTTGTCCGACCATCTTCAGTAACATGGCTTGGTCGTGCTTTTGGCTTCCGTACTTGTCGTGGAAGTAGAGCTCGTTGAGCGCATTGGCCATCGTGTTCAAGCCGGGCTTGTTCTCCTCGGCTTGTTCCAGGTTCTCCTTCTGTAATTCCGTCAACTCAACCGGCGATCCATTGGTTAATATTTGCACACCCACGGTTTTCATGGGGGCATTTCCTGCTCCGGGGGTTGAGGCTTTCATTCCATTCTGGGTGGCTGGGCTGACTTGTCTTTGCAAAAGGCTGGAGTGGGAGAATCGATTCAAAGTGGAGAGTGATTGTTAATATTTTGTTTGGATAGAAAGAAAATAGCAAGATATGTAAAAAAACTTTCGACTTACGTGGAACGACTAGAATCCTGAACTGCTCCGGGTGCACTGAGAATCGACGCACAGCTGACGAGGGCAATCAAGCTTGAGAAAGGGATGGTGACCAACATATTTGTTTAGGGTGTTGTAGGGTAGCTGTTGGATTAAAATGAAGCGTGTTTTATTCTAGGCAGTGAGTACCGGAGTATTATTATTGAGGATAATGTAAGAATGAGGAGATAACTGATACTAATACTACCGATAAATTAGATGTGAATTAAAAGATTAGACTCAAGCACCAGGCGAGAGAAGGGAATTAAATAGGAAGGTTTGTTGATAGAGCTGCTGATGGAAGACTGAGGATGGGATGATATTATCCTGTTCCATCGGCCAGACAAGGGGTTTTTATATCGGTTCTCGTTCTCCCTGTAGGTGAGCTACGGACTCATGAGTTCTATGTCAAGCACCCGGAAACAAGTTGCCCCGTCACTAGTAACTACACAGACACTCTTCAACACTCAGTTTGTCGGAGAAAGCAGTCCGACAAGTGTCCGGAGTCGCAACGTCCGACGAGTTTGCCAGACCGTAGGTGATGGACTGCAGGATTTGTCGGGCGAAGTCAGTCCGAGCATTTGTCGGAATGACGCGTCTGACAAGTCCGTTGGCGCAGCGAGCTTGCCACGGCCATCCAACTCTCCTCACTCTCTGCCTTGCAAACCCAACGATGCTCTGGGCGCGCGTGGTACGAGCATCCCAGGCCAGAAGTTCATGTGGCAAATCCGTATCGTAAAGACGCAAATTCCGGAGACCAAGGCTCCAAATTTCGCCCGACTCTCCAGGAAATGACGGTTCATATCTATGTACGATAGATGAACCCCTGCAAGCATCTGACTGAGGATTTCGAAAATGCGAGATACGGACGTCGCAGCCCTTCATGTCTGTGTGGGGCAAAGAAAAAGGCACAATGTGTAGGAGGGAGGAATGGAAAGTGGAGATGCAGGCGCATCAGAAGCTTATCCAATTCCCTCGTCTGGGTCACTTGGCGGGCAAGCGGGAGCCTGGGCATACACAAAGATGAATTTCCTAGTGAGTCGTGGAACTTGCATTTGGCTAGTGATGTGTTTCTTTTTAGCGCTCTCATTCCGTGAGACCACACAACAGAGACTCTACAAGCAGCGGAACTCCAGCCTCTTGCACATGGGTAACCGAGTACTTCCGGGTCCTTTGGGACTGGATTATGGATCAAATCCTTCCCTCAGTCATATCGTTTCTCTTGCAAATGTTTTTCGGTGGAGAACTATTATCAATTCACCATGAGCTCTCTATGTAAGCTATATTCTGTGCGATGATTCGGAAGACTTTGTACGCTTCTTTTACCTTTCGGTGCCCTGATCCAAAATCTGGTTTTTATTGTGCTACTTTGATGAGAAACAGGCGGGATCAGTTATGAGGGTATGGATTGAACTATGTATCTTTCGCGATCCCACTTCTTGAAAGATTGCTAAGGTTCTAAATCCGGGTTGACTGGTTGGATTCATCCCATATCAGTTTGACTTCAACAGTTACCCAACCTGAACGTTAGACCTGCTTGATCAGAAGCATCTTGTTCTCGTCACCTGGGAGCTCGTACCATGGTGGCCAGGAGCATCGTCGTGTTTGCAAGGCATCAAGTTGAATGACCGTGGCAAGCTACCATAAGTGCCACAGAACTCTAGAGCCTTGTCTGGAGTGACGAGGCAACTAGTTTCCGGGTGCTTGGCATAGAACTCATGAGTCCGTAGCTCACCTACAGGGAGAACGAGAACCGATATAAAAACCCCTTGTCTGGCCGATGGAACAAGATAATACCCTCCCATCCTCAGTCTTCCATCAGCAGCTCTATCAACAAACCATCCATTTTAATTATCTTCTCTCGCCTGGTGCTTGAGTCTAATCTTTTAATTCTTATCTAATTTATCGGTAGTATTAGTATCAGTAGCAGTTAATCTCTTCATTTTTATCTTCATCCTCGATAATATTACTCCGGTCATCCAACTCGCTGCCTAAAACCAATCGCGTTTCATTCAACTCCAACAGATACCCTACAACACCCTAAACAAATATGTTGGTCACCATCCCTTTCTCAAGCTTGATTGCCCTCGTCAGCTGTGCGTCGATTCTCAGTGCACCCGGAGCAGTTCAGGATTCTAGTCGTTCCACGTAAGTCGAAATGTCTTACATTTCTTGTCATTTGCCTTCTATCCAAACAAAATATTAATAATCATTGAATCGATTCTCCCACTCCAGCCTTTTGCAAAGACAAGTCAGCCCAGCCACCCAGAATGGAATGAAAGCCTCAACCCCCGGAGCAGGAAATGCCCCCATGAAGACCGTGGGTGTGCAAATATTAACCAATGGATCGCCGGTTGAGTTGACGGAATTACAGAAGGAGAACCTGGAACAAGCCGAGGAGAACAAGCCCGGCTTGAACACGATGGCCAATGCGCTTAACGAGCTATACTTCCACGACAAGTACGGAAGCCAAAAGCACGATCAAGCCATGTTACTGAAGATGGTCGGACAAGCGGCCGAGAGCACCGGAAAGACCGGCGATCCCGAGGCGGTTTCGAGAGCGATGCTCGCCACCTTTGGCCCCTACAACCAAGGAAAGCCTTCGAAGATAAGCGCCTCCCCCATCGCCCCACTCACCAAGACCACTGCGGCCATGGATGAATCTCCGTCCTTGAAGACCGTCGCCCATTCTCTCCACGAAGCTTGGGAGAAATCACTCACCTCTAACCCCAAGTTAGACAATGCCCAGCTCGTCCCGGTCATCTGTAGTGCCATTGCCACTAGCGCTGCCAGTGGTGATCCAGTGGCAGTCTCAAAAGCAATCGATGCTGCTTATGCAAAGATTTCCGGAACCCAGTGATCTCCTTTCATCTAGCATCTGATCCTTTTGGTTTCTTTCTTTCGCTTTTCCCCTTAATTTCTCAATGGACATATGTCGTAACTTTTCTTCCTTTCGTACAATTTCAATGTGCCCGCTCTTAATGATTTTTTTGTTTCTTTTCTTCCATAATGCCAGCCTGAAACGCAATCATCACGATAATAATGAAATTAAAAGGTTTCATTTAACCTGAACAACATATGAGCTCTTGATGTTCCCATTTCATATCTGAGCCACTGATGAAGCGATGAAGGACGTGTCATCTCTGGGTCAGACTCAAAGTGAGTTGGGGCCCCTTGAGAGCACTTACTGAGTTGCAAGTTGCGCACGTCTGTTGGTGCTTCCAAGCGTTACAACCAACTTACATGAATGTTGTGCACGCAGATACAAATAGAGAAAACACTTTTTCTTTCTTTCTTGTAAATAGCCCACACGTAACCTATGCAAGTTTGCATCAAGTAGAAGTTGATGGTAGGAAATGATATGATCACAGATTAGTACAAGCACGAAGGGAAGGGCGATCGGGAAGTACTATCTACATACATATTTAAATAAGGGGGTTCACGGTGCACCCAAACCGTCGCCGATTTGGAACATTAAAGGTGATCCACAAACTTGATGAACTTACTCCAATTGTGGGATTTCGACTCCCAAGTGGAGCTTCCGAGATCTCCGAGTCCCACCCACCTCTTTTGCATTCCCATAAAGCTTAAACGAGCGATCCGTATAACCAAGTTTGACTTGGGGGTGGGCCCTACATACAAAACAAAACAGATACATGCTCGCAAGCTGCGTAATTAAAGGCCCGACAGGCTCCTGCACACACCCCTGTCACTATACCGTCAGACCGCCGATATCTTCAAAAGCTGACTGGAACCATACATATAAGGATGTATATGGGCCGAGGAAACTGATGAAGCGAGCGGCTGAATGGGAGAAGAAAGAACGTCAAGAATGCACGAAAACAGCTTGGATGAGACGGACGTAGTGATCATTGGTGCAGGAGCCAGCGTAAGTCCCCTGATCACCCTCTGGATACATCACCCAATCAATCCGTATTTATTTGTACAGTTCAAGTACTAAGGGGTTGGTCACTCACAAGAAACATATCCATAGGGCCTTGCTGCTATCAAGCAACTCACTACGACCACCGAGCTCGACGTGGTTTGCTTTGAAGCTAGGAGCGGACCGGGCGGAGTGTGGTGAGTGGTGGGGACCAACTGAAGCGGTCGTTCGATCTCTTAAAAATGTGTGATGTGGGGATGTTTGCAAACATGGCAGGAGTCCGGAGAACAAGAGCGAGAAGAAGGAAATGAGGGTCGAATTCGACCGAATGGGCCGGCCGTTTGTGCGGCCCTCGTCGCCGATGGACTGCTCGCCGATCTACGACGGTCTGCGGACGAATGTGCCCAAGAACCTGATGGCCTTTCATGACCAACCCTTTAATGTGAGCACCGCCGAGCCGGAAAGCGAGTTCCCTCCGGCCGGCGAAGTCTCCAGATATCTGCTCCAGACCGCCCGCGGAGTCGAGCATCGAATCCGCTTCAATTCTCTCGTCACTCGAGTCAGACATCGTCCCCCGCCAGATCCCTCCCAGCCCCTGCTGCATGCTGCCGCGACTTATAAGGAGCGCAGATGGATCGTCGAGCTCGTCGAGCCCCCTTCGTCTGGAAATCCCACTCAGAACAATCATCCTGATCAAGAATCCAAATCCATCTCTTGCGATTTCGTTTTGGCTGCTTCGGGGTCAGCATCCAGATCACCCAATTTCGTCCTTCTTTTCCCGATAGAGATTCGCTGGATGAATCACATTGACCAAGAAACTTGACTGGGAATGACATCCTCTCTAATTTAGTCGTCCTTAGACATTACAGTGTACCCTACGTGCCCTTCATCCCGTCGCTTTGGACATGGCCGAAAGAGATCATCCATTCCTGCGTATATACCAATCCCAGGGCATCCATTTTCCACCAAAAAGTAAGCTCACACGATTCTCTCTTCTCCGGGGAATTTCTCCAGGTAGAAGTTGAGCACGTTAAGAGATTGATAACAGACGGTAGCGGTGATTGGGATCGGGCCGTCGGGATACGACATTCTGCGCGAGCTAGCGATGGTACGGGAGGCCGAAGCGGGCGGATCAGGGCGGCAGGGGAGCGTCGAGGAGGGGCGGAAGATCAAGAGGCTGTATTCGGTGGCCTCTCATCCGGCCAAGCTCGGCTGGGACTTTGCCGACCCGGAGGCCCCGGGATGGACCAAGCAGATCACGACTGTGCCGAGGTTTGCGCGGATCGAAGGACACAAGATCTGGCTCGTCGACGGACGCCTGCTCGAGGACATCGACCTGCTTTGCTTCGCCACCGGATATCTCTACCATTTCCCGTTCTGCAGGCCCCTCGACAAGCCCTGGAATACCCATCCTCTCACCTATCCTCCCCCCATCCCCAATCCTCCTCCTCCTTCCTTTGTTCAAGACCCTTCAAATCTCCCGTTTCCGGGCGCCTTTCGCGTCCATCATCTCGACCAAACTCAACTGTTTTATTACCCTGACCCAAGCTTTGGATTCCTAGTCTTACAAACCCAAGTGGTCCCATTCCCTCTGGTAATCTACTCATGGTTTTTCTCTCGAGTCTATCCTCCACAACCCAAGCCTTCTATATAATCGCGAACAAGATGCAAAAAGAAAAAAAATGTTGATGATGATGAGATGTTGATTTTTTTTTTGTTTAGGCGGAGTATCAAGCCAGAGCCATTGCGGCACGATGGTCCGGCCGAAGTCCGTTCGCGATCGTCCCGATGACCGACAACGAGACGGAGTCGAAGACGGTGCATGGGTTGTCTGCCGTAAGCAAGTTGTGCACATCCGCCAAAAAACTCTCATTTCCCTCTGATTTTTTTTTTTTGGTCTCCTAGCCGAAGGAATTTGAGTATGAGGATGAGCTGTTGGAGCGGATCGGGGAAGGCGGGGAGGAAGGGGATAGTGAGCGCCATTGGGGAAGGGTGCCGGCTTGGAAGTACAAAGCTCGGGAAGAAACGCCTGCTAGACGCAGACGCGAGTTGGGCTATTGACCCTCTCTTTCTCGGAAGGCCCGCTGATCCACACGCACAACAGCTCTTATAGTGTCCATGTGGGCCGAGGTTGTAATATACTTGCAACTGTACTACTACTTTTTTTTTTTTCTTTTTGACGAGTCTCCTTGCAGCATCGTCTGATTGATTGGAGACGGTTGAATACGCGAACCAGAGGTTGATGATGATGAGTATTCTAAGTGATCGAGAGAAACACAACCATGGTACAAATCAATCCGGCGAAATCCACCATACAAAGATTGTTCCAAGCCTCGACCGACCCGAGTGCCGTTATAATAATGAATTCTAGGCTAGTTAAGACGTCAGTTCACAGTAACAGTGATCCAGCTCCCTTGAGGATGATGAGCCGCAGGAACCGCTGTCGCCTTATACACTGACTGTGTCAAGCCAGCCCAATCCAAGACCAGTCCTAGCTCGGCGTGTCCATGAGCCCATATTTTTTATCCCAGACTGCCAAGTTAAGGGACATGTTCACAATTACACGATTACACTATGTTTCTCTTGGCCTGCCAATCCGATCCAGATCCACTTACATAACTACCTCCTCCCCTATCCGAATTCCAGGGGGAAGTTACAGCCGCTGCTCATTCTCATGCTCTCTCTCACTCTCTCTCTCTCAGCCTGAACTAACGATCAACCCCCCCCCCCCCAAAAAAAAAGCAATAAGTATCGAGTTGATCGAAGCGGGGCTCATCATCAGCAGGAAGATTGAGCGAACACCAAGCAACGAGAAGCAAAGAACGATTGATGGGGACACCACCAAGAAGAGCAAAGATCTGTAATAATAAGTTACATTATATAAGATACATAACAGGATACATAGATAGCACGAGGATTGATGGGGAGATGTTTACTGGGAAGAGGCCCAAACTTCGGGCGAACATTGGAGCCGAAAAGACCGAGAGAGCTCTGAAGCCTGATCGGAGAAGATAAGCAGGGCCGAGCCGTCGGACTCGGACTCCAACAAGTCCTGCAACGCCGAGCGCAGATCTTGGGACAGACAGGGGAACGCGTCGAGCCCATAGAAGGCCAAAGCGGCGCGTCTACGGGCCTGGTTAGGGGAAGCCTTTCCGCGCGGGATCGGCAGAATGCGGGGCGATGAGGCCGGCGTTCTTGGCTTCGACGGGCTGGATTCATGGAGCCGGAAGTTGAGGACCAGATAAGGGTTCCGATGTTCTTGCAGCTTAATCCCAGCATGGGCGGGTGTCCATTGGTATGAAGCCTGAGCAACCGACTCATCGTCGCTCGAGTTAGACACACAAACCGCGCCGAACGTGATCCGTTTCTCATCGATAAGAGCTGTCGTCGGGCCGGACTCGGAGCGAAGGTAGATTGTAAAGAGTTGGTCAAAGCTAGGCTGATGGTGTCTGCAAGTGACCGCCAATCCGCGATATAATTGGCGTAACAGGCCGGCTGAGCTTGGTGTGTGATCGATGGAGATGAAGTGGTTCCAGAACACACGTCCTTCCGCCAAGAGTTTCTCTTTGTTCTCCTTGTCGATTGGACCGAGTTGGAGGTGTTCTTGGTCCCAGCCCGTTAAGGTCTGTAAGAAGTCTACCAATCGAACTGAATGGCCGAATGGCATGGTGATCAGATCCGGCCCTGGGTCTGCAGCTGGGGGTGATGGTGGTGTGTTTTGCATGGTGATTTGCATCGCCCGAAGCAGGATGATCCGGCTCACTAGTCTGCCAATATCGCCGAGATTAAACAAGCGTTGGCGGTTGATAGAGGCAAGCACTTGGATGGACCGGATGAGCCTGGCTTCGTCGGAGGCCAGGTACTGATTGGCTGCCGAAGACAAGATGAATTGGGAGGGATATCCACTCGTGAGCTTGAGATGAGAGGGGTCGATGTGCATGCATTGCGCTCCATGGCTTGAAACGAGCTGGGCATTCAGATGTGAAGCTCCCAAGGTTGGTGGCTGTATGGTCGACCCAAGCAATGCAAACACTTGGGAATTGCTCAGGGAGCCGGCTGGAACCGACTGACCATTCGTGGATAGAAGCTTTTCAAGAGCGTGTTGGGTCAAGCCTTGGATGATCTCATCGTCCGCAAGTCCCTTCCTCTTGGCTTCATTGGCATACGCGCGCCAAAAGGGGGAGCCATAAGATAAGAGCCTAAATGCGGATTGCAACTGGTGCTGATCTCTGGGCGGATCGCTCACGTGGACATCGAAGGAACAAATTTGGTATATGGAATCGAAAAGCTTTTTGGGCTTGTGCTTGCCGATCCTGTGATTGGGATGATCAGGATGGAAAATCGAAAGAGGAGAGTTGGCATCTGCAAGGACGGAGAAAAACCCGGTCGAATGGGATGGTATCCTCTGAAGAGCCCCGCGGAAAATGCTCAAGAACGACAGATCTGAGGAAGAGCTACTGGCAAGCAATGCGCTGGCTTGGTCGATTGCCAAGAGCACTCTGAGGTCGTCTTGCTCAATGAACTTGGTACTCTCCTTCATCCTCTTTAATGCCTCTCGAAGTTGGGTGTGCTTCTCGTAGACAGTCAGAGGTCGAGCCGATCTGCTGGAGATCTCGTTCATCTTTGTCTCGACGTCTGTCCAAAAGGGTGGGTCGCCAGACCGATTGGATTGTGGAAAGCTATGGAGAACCCATTGCTCCAATCTTTCTTGTCTACTCCCCGGGTCTTGAGCCGAAAAGAAATCGGCGACAGTATACAAGATAGCACACAGCAGCTCTTCGTATCGGGTTTGCAGGGTTGGACACTTGGAATCGAGAAGCACGCCCGCAGGATATTCGGATCGGGGCGGAAAACCAGACGAGTGTTTGGGCCGGAGACAGATATAGACGACGCATGTGCGTCTCGACAGCTCCTTCAAGAGTCGCGATTTGCCGTTCTTCGATGTTGCAACAAGGGAAGTAGAAGGGGCCAGGTATTCGTCGGGCGTCCACTGGCGGGCCATCTTCTGGAGCGTCTGGAGCGTGGGATCGACGATGCGTTTGGTGTCTAAATATTCATGATTGTTGAATGCTTCTGCAACAATTTCGTCCTCCAGAGGATGATTAAAGAGCCTCTCGGCTTTCTCGTGAGACGAGGGGGCGATCCTTCCATCACGATCGATTTTGGAAGAACCACCTGTGAGATGGGTGGGGGCATGATTATAAGTTATTGCTCAGGAGCCACGGATCGGAACAGAAGATGTGCGTACTAGTTGTGCCGTTTTGGCCGAGGAACCCATCAGAATCTTGGGTTTTTTTGTCGCACTCTTGCAGGAACCTATTAGAGTGGCTTTCGTCTGGGGGCGTCTGGAGATCTTTGTGCATCAAGGGATTGGCGGTTGAGACGAGCCGAATATGTTTTGGAGGAAGGAGTGGGGCATTGTGTGGGTTTCTGCGGTGGCCGGGCAGGATTGATGTTGAGGTTGTTGGGGATCTGGGCCAAGACGATTGGAAGATGGAGGGACAGCGAGCTCGAGCCTGGAAGATCATACTTATATTTTTCTTAATTGGTGTGTTGGGAATCGGGAGTCAATAGATTGATGATATTTATTTTTGATCTAGAATCTGTCGAAGGGCAATCGAAGACGCAGCTTAGCAGTGATCGGTGATGAGGAACAAGCTAGTATACATATAAGGAAGACTTTATTCCTCAAGCGCGACGATTGTTAAGGTCTTGAAAGTGCTCATCAGGTCACTAACAGTGATGGTCAGGAAGGAGAGACAGTGGGCACATGAGGAGCCACCGTTTAACTTTTGGGGGGGTAAGAACAGGAAAGAATAAAAGAGTGTTCGATGAGGAAAGAGACACTCAAAGACGATTACTAAATATTTCTTTGGCGAGGTACAACATCTCTTGCTGCATGCCACAAATGAGAAATCATACACTTTTCTTGTACCCGTTAGAAGATCAATTCGTCTCCAAACCTCGAGCCTTTCTTGAATCTCTTTCCCTTCCCAGAATGCAGAACGTATTGAAATTCCCCTTGCCCAGAACATGGGTTGATCAACATTCAATCTCCAACCCAACTCCAGCCTGAGATGATGATTATGACAGATCTTTTGTGAATTGTGTTGAGTGCTGACCACCCCATTTAAGTGTATGTACATTGTAAAACCCACTCGATCATGTAGACTAGGAGCGACAAGGGATTTGGTAAAAGGCACAGTAGAACAAACAAGATAACCATACATGTTTGTATCACTATCTCCAACCATGTCATAGAAAAGAGGCAAGAATCATGCCAAGGAAAGCTCGTCGAATGCACGAGAATCGATCCACAAGAGCCACGAGCGACGACGATGGAGACGGTGAACTCCACCGTTCTTGCTTGCTCGAAGTCGAACAGAATTTCCTTCTTCCTTGCCCACCAGACCTCTGATCACCTAAGGATTGACTAAGGAAACACATGTGTAGAGGTGCAAGGGAAGAGGGTTGTCATCGTCGTTGGAGCAGACATGTTGGATTATTACACAACTCAAGACATATATACGTCTGGTTATCACAATGGCTTATTTATCACAGGCCCAAAAACAAGTAGACAAAAAAAATAATGGAAGACGGATGGTGTGATACAGATGTTCAGAAGCAAATTAGGTGGCCGATAAATGAGGTTGAAGGATTCCGATTTTTTTGTTTTGTGATCGGGGCCCGGTTGTCAGTTTCTTAAGATTATTGGATCGAAGATGAGTATTACAAACGCTTTAAAGCTCTGCGAATTGGTCAGGCAGAAGCCGAGCATGGGGCGGAGTGCCGAAGCAGCGCGAGTTATCGAACTTGATAGCGATCCGATCGAGCTCTTCGAGCCCATCGGGCCCGGTATCCTCGAGATTAGCCTGAAGTAACTGGTCGCATTCGAGGGAGATAGTGAGGTCGGATTCGATGTGCGGGCCGACGGGTCGATCGGCGCCTGTGCCGGCGGACAACAACGAGGTGTGCAGGAGCGTCGCCGAGCGATGGTAGGTGTAGGTCGTCGCCGGATGATGCGCATTCGCCGTCGGCTTCGGCGAGAGAGTCGCGATCGACGGGATCGGGAGGACCCAGATTCGCTCGCGAAGCCGCTTGTGCTGCTCATCATCTCGGCTTCATTCAGTTCCTGGAGAAAAAAATTGGGCCAGGCGGGCGGGAGACTCAACTCGTTCTCTATCATCATCGATTCGATCTAGGATCTCCTTCTTTGAAAACGCCTCAAGCTCGTTCTCTGAGCCTTGATGATCCACATCCGCCTTCCCCAACCTACGAACAAAAACAACAAAAAACAGAACAAGATCAGTGAAGGGCAGTCCTATTTCTCAGGGGAAAGAAGGGAAGGGAATCGAATGGACACTTGTTTGCGATTGTTCAAGAGGAGATCGATTTGTTCGAGGAGCTCGATGTTCAAGAACTGGTCGATGAGCGAGACCTGAGACTTCCAATTCTTGATCACTTGGAGCGTGCTCATGAGGTTGAGGAGGCCCTTTTTATTGAAGCTAGTGGGCACGACGATCTCGACGAATCGGATGATATCCTTCTTGATCAGATAGCCGTAGTTGAAGCCGCCCGAGGGGTTTTGGGGAGTGATCGATGGTCCTGATCCGATGGCGTGCGTTCGGCCCTTCTGGTATTGGTAGTCTTGGTGACTCGTCAGGAGCGCCGTCGACGATGTAAACAGCAGGCCATCGATCAAGTATAGGATGTTGATCCTCGCATTCAGATTCACCTACTTATACAAACTCATCATCAACATCCAATCTTTCTTTCCTCAGTTTTTTTTATATAAATACACACCTTCTCGGCTTCTTCGATCAAACAATCCCAGAGATCTTCGCCGTACTTGTCCTTATGTTTGAGCAGGAATCGGATGGTCGTTTGGATCGAGTTTTGCGATGAGCTTAGTTTCCGGAGGATCGAGACTAGTTGGAGTCTGACTTGGAATCCATCCATCGCTTTTCGTTGTTGTTGTTGTTCAGAAGTTAGAATGTATTCCTGCCGATGGCCATGCCTCTCCCGGCTTATGTAATCAGCTTCTGGCTTCACATCCACTCACTCACGACTCATCCGAACGAAAACACGGCTGTTTCCTTAATGCATCTGCAATAAATCCCACCCATGACATGCTCATCTTCATAATAGCGGGGTTCACGATAGCTTCTCGCAAGAAGCGATTTCTTCTCGCGCGAGAAACCGCAGCACTGCTGCAGGCTTAAAATTTAGCGCAGAACTTAAAATTTACGCTGGGAAAATTGACATCAGCAATGCTCGAGCAAGAAAAAAAAATTACGGGTGCGAGAAGCGAAAAACGCTATCGTGAACCCCGCTCATAATTTAACAATCAAGTGTTTTGAGAAAGATAATTGTAAAACCCAAGAAGTCTTACTGGAACCACCTCTTGATATGCGGAGAGGGCCTGGGCATGTGCGACTGCGGCGCGCCCCACGATGCCCCAACCCATGAACCAAGAGGGCAACTTGATCATCACAGCTTGAAGCGGCGAGACTATGCAGGGGAACGTCCGCCAGAGATTCCCTCCTCCAAGCAGTCCAAGCAGGATAACTCCTTGCCAATCTGGTCACAACATGTGGCACTGACCAGCCCCGTCAAGGATACTTATACCATCCTTCATTGGCAAGCCATGCCGGCCCGGGTCTGTGCCAGCTTGGTCATGACTCATGAGGACGGATATGTCCTCGGCGCAATGAAAGTGTTTGAACTGTATTTCTGTGAGAGGAGTGATCCTCCTCACTGAGAACCTGTACCAGCTCGGTGAAGGGAGTGCATCCTCTCCGAGTCCCAGGAGGGCATCACTTCATTGAGCCAGTACTTCTCGTGCCGAAATGTCAAGAAGCATTCCTCCTTGGCGAGCTGGTACAAGATGCACTACTTTGTTGAAAAGGATCTGTCCAGAGACGGGAGGCGTTTGGGACTTGGGACATCCTATAAGTATTCTCTGTTTTTTTGTCCTAAAGATATTTCTGAGATGGCCCTCCCCATAATGACCATTTACATCCTGAAGAATAACCCAGGACCCAGCATGATCTATTGTTAATTATTCCTGAAATATGTATCTCCCACAGGCTAGTTAAAGTCCATGGATCCCCAGGGAAGTCAGCCAGGCCCCGTAGCGCAGTCGGTACGCGCCCTGATGGATTCGTCTACGTCCAACAATCTGGCTTGCCAGAGGAGAGTCGACTATAATAGAACGTCCATCAACAGTCCAGGTCAAGTGTTCAAGCCTTCCTGGGAACGGGGCATTAACTTTTTTGCTTGGCTATATAAATATAGCCGCTTATTGGGGAAGGGATGATGTTCTCGGTGGTACTAGGCCGACAAGTGATACCAGCTGGCTGAGAATCAATATAATATATGCAAGACTTTTTTTTCCTTGGGGAAGATAAACCCTCTTCATAGAGATGGTGCCGGCTCTCAGTAAGTAGGATGCTTTGAAGAAATTTTAACCAAAGAAAAGAAATTTCTTGGAGGAGATTTTTGACAACAAAATTAATTTTGTTGGAACGGCTCAGAGGGTCGAAAAAAGAGGGAGAGAACCGATGGTATTTTTTACTTAGCAGAGACTAGTTGTTAAGTAGTCTACATACAAGATGTTCAACATGTGGTTTTGAGAAGAAATTGAATATAGAAATGAATAACAGTTTGAAACATGAATGAAACATTGACAGGAGCAAATTCTTGTTGATAAAGACTAGACTCAGGTTCGAAGACTACAGAGATTTCAGCACTAGACAAAAAGATAAGATGCCACTCAGACAAGGACAAAACATATTCAAAACATGAATATTAATTTGTATAAACATTAACAAATGAGGAAAAGGTTTTTAAGAATGAGGAGAAAGAGACAGAATTTCAACATGCTTCTTGGGCGAGCCGATCCAAGCCGTGTCAGCTTGCCCAGGATGTGTCCTGCTCACAAGGACGTGGTACAGATCATACCAGCTCGAGCCTCAATCTGAAGGGGCAACCCGTTGGACCGCACCCAACGCTTCTGCCAAAACTCAAACGGCGATACTCAAATGTCCACACTTGCGATGTGCTGGCATTGGTCTTGTTTTAAAATGGTTTCGAGAGTGTTCCTCCAGTTTTGGGGAGGCTCGTTTGAACGATTCTCAAATCATTACCAAGATTTGAAGCTTATATCCCCCGTTGGCGAACTGGACTGGTGTGTACTCCATGACTCGGTGAGGAGGATGAACCCTCGGCGAGCTGGTACGGCTGTTCAGTTGTGTCGGCTTCACCAGGGACTCGGAAGGGATCCACTTTCCTCATCAAAGCCCTTTACCAGCTCAGTGAAGATCCTCACCAAGGGTCTTTACCAGCTCAATGAAGAGGAAATACATATCCTCTTCAACCAGGTTATATCCTCAATGAGCCGGAACAGGAGATGCTTTTGGATTTTCGCCTCACAGTAATAATGTATTCTCTATTTTTTTGCCCTGCCATTGTGCGCCCGGAATCTTCTTTATACCCTTGAATCACCAGGGAAGGCACCGGCCCCGTAGCGCAATCGGTAAGCGCCTGATGGATGCCTATGCGACCACCATTCTGGACACCCAGGACAGCGTACTACAGCAGAACATCCATCCCCAGGTCGGCTGTTCAAGCCTTCCTGCACACGGGGTTGTCTTTTTCTTTTCTGGTGAGCTCAGCGACGGAGAGATACCTTTCTGGCCGGTGGTACTATGGACCAGATCGTTGAACAATAATCTTTCCGCGAGCCGGTGCGGGATTTACCTGTTTATTGAAGAGGTACCCAGCTCAGGGGATGATGACCCTGCTCCAAAGAGCTGAATTGCTGATCTTTTCCTTTGGTGAGGAGGACCCTTTTCGGCAAGCTGGTACAAGCTGTGTGCTCGCCGAGGTGTATCCCCCTCACTGAGCTATGAGTATGGAGTACAAACCGGTCTAGTTCGCCGGGGTCGACATGTCCTCGCCGAACAGGCACAGACCATACCTATACCTGCTCGATCAGTAGCTTATCAACTCAGCAACCATGCATTCTTGTTCGTGAGCTGTTGCAGCCCCTACACATCAGCTTGATGTTAGTGAATGGCCTCCTATATTGCCGCTTCCCAAATTCGGGAGGTCCCCCCGATAGTTGCGCGACCCGCTGGCGACGTCCTCCTGCGGTCTCTTGCCGGCGTGAATATTGCTTGACATCCCCCCCCCAAAGAAAAAAAGTTTGACTCCTGGCTTTGACCCAGGATGATGACAAATTGAAATAATGCAATTGTTTATTTCCATGCAATGGATATTTCCTCATCAAGAGGAAAGGTGAGAAATCAAGCGCGGTGGATCCACTTGTGGACAAGAGTATATCAATTGGAACCAACTTCAAGATCATCATCTACTATTTAATGACTACTTTCACAACAAACCTACAGTCCCAGAAGATTTCCTTCAGTCAGCATTTCAGGATGAGACAGTTTGTGTTTCTTGAGATTGTGGAGCACATTTTTTGAGGAGGAAAATCACTTTGTTCAAAAGAGAGATGCTGCTGGCTGCTTGGGTTTTTTTGCTGTTCCAGAAAGCAGCTGCCACTTCAAGGATGCCAGCCTATCTTCACAATATTGGTCCAGTTGTACAATACATGGCAAGAAGTAAGCCTTCTCCTCCTTTTGTAGGTTTAAAAAAGCAACTCAATGGATTTCGGATTGAAAAACATTTCAATCCCAGGTGAAATTACAGATCTAGAGACCCACAAGAGTTATTGTTATCTAACCATTAAGATCTACAGCATATATTAATTCAAAACACTGAATGAAGAATATTCAGGAAGAATTGTTTCTTTTTCCAAAGAAGAAAGGTTTTACTCAGGATGATTGGCTTGTTAGAATGGATGAACTAGTGTTTGTTGGATTAATCCTGTATGTGGTACTGGTATGCCTATACTGAGTTATGCTTATATCAAGCCTACAATTACTACTGAGTTACCGGATCTCTTTTCCCTGACTCTTTCCTCACTGAATCAATCTATATAATTCTCATTGTCAAGGTCCCACAGTGAGTGTTGGCTTTAGCCTTAGTTTCAGTCCCTGATGTCCCTCAACAGTGTTGTAAAAACCTCCCAAAGACAAACCATGGGACTACTGGAAATGAAAAAGAGCCAACAGTGGTGCTTGAAGCTGTAGCAACCCACATCTTAGATTTGATATCCATTTTTTTTTCCTTCTGGGAGCACTCAACAACATCAACTTTCTCAACAAATTGCACTCTCTTCCAGAAAGATAAAGATGGTGCTGGTTCTTAGTAGGTTTCCTACAAGGTGAACAGAAACACATGAAGCCTTCCTATTTTCTCAGAATACAATCAATTCATCATGGAACTCACACAGCCAAATGTGCCAAGAAGCAAGAGCACTGCAATGCTCCTGAAAACCAAGTGAGTACAATGAATGGACCATTGCAATGAAGCAAAAAAACCATAAAAAAGTTGCTAAAGCAGAACTGAAACAAATGGTATATCTAAGAAAGAGGATGATATCATTTTTGAATTATTTCAAATTCAAAAGGGGGTAATTCTGGATGATGTTTTGTGAGAAAATCAAAAAGAGACAAAGACTATAAGCAGAGGAGGCAATCTTGCAAGGGACACAGGTGGTGGGACTGAAGGTTTGCAGTTTTTTTATAATTTTTTAGTGCTTATTGATTTAACTTTTTGAACCTAAGTGAACTGAAGAATAGTAGGGGGTATCAAATATAACGAAATCCACCACTTTTTAATTGACGGGTTTTGAGAAATCCACACTTACCAAATCCACCTTTGCAGTGACCAAATAACCTACTTCTTTTGTCAGGGCGTATCAAATATAGCATAAATCAACCCATTTTTTTAGCCCAAAATTCCTGAATTTCCAATTTCAAATTCCAACCATCCCCCATCCTCCACGATTCCCTCAATCCTCCACGATTCAATCCCCACTCACCCCACAGCTTCTTCAACATCTCCTCTTAACTTGCCCCTGCACATCACTCATCATCAAACCAAGTCTGATCAATTGATTAGTTCAAGGTATTTATCTTCAACTGAACCAAAGTATATTTCTATATTTCAATGGCCTCACAAATTTTGTTCTTTTTCCACTACATGCACCCAACAGATGCCTCCAAAAAAAGCTTCCAGATTCCCAACCCTCCGATCACTTCGAACCCCTCCAAAGAAGAAGAGGGCCACTCCAAAGAATACACGATCAAAGAAGAACGATGATGAACTTGGTTCATCCCAAGGTCATCTAAAAATAGAGGACTATGAAATCATCATCGACTGGCTCAGAGACAAGAAAAACTACGTTGCCTGTTTTGGCGATGGGAAGGCTCCTGCGATTGGACGACGACCAAAGGCGATGATAAACGGTTACGAGTTGATGGCGATTCACCTCCGAAATGTTTCTCCAACTAAAATCAATCTTACCCCCCGACAGATGAAAGATCGTTTCAAGTCATACAAGGACAAGTATAAGAAAGCTCATACGAAATCTATGTCAACTGGCTTTGGTCTGACCCCAGCTGATCGGAAGGCTGGAATCACAACGATCGAGGACAAACTTGAAAATATGTGTCCTCTCTACGCTGAAATGGACGAAATCTTTGGTAACCGGCCTGATGTCAATCCGTTGTTTATGGCGGATGCAGAGGATGAAGACGATTCATCTGAATCATCTTCTGAGGACAACAATTCCGATTCCTCAAATGAGATGGATGAGAACGATTCATCTCATAGTTCTGAGTCCACTGC